CATCCGTGGGCTGTCGTGCACCAGAATATTTATTTTATTACAAGGACCAATAAATGGATTAAGAATATTTTTATATTGCATATGCTAAAAGAGAGAATTAAAATGACTAGTCACAATGTATGAGATTCTAATGGATGTATAACACTAAAGTACAGATGGAATGATTAATGTACTTTACTTCTTTACTGGACTTTTCACTGAATACGTTTCGTTGTCTTGAACTGTATATTATTTATAATCTTTGAATAACACTTTCAACAAATGACAAGTGGCACTTCTAATTTAACATTTCAAATGTATTCTCCATTATATAGGAACACAAGAATAATCGCCTTTTAAAGATATCAATATCTTATTCTTTTACAATGAGATATCCTTGTTAATGTAAAGCTGTCAAAAATAAAACATTATTTCTTTTAAAGGGATGCAAGAGATTCAATATTATCATTAGCAATTCTTTTGAATGGATAATATATTATAGTATCTTAATTCTAAGATTGTTCTGAATTAGTTAAAAATTCTTCAATCAGCAAAATTCAGGATTTTTGACCTCTAAATGAACACAAAATACACATTTATCACTGTCCATATAAACATTAATTTCGCAACATTTAACAAATTTTCATATAAGTGAACAGAGATTAACTCCCACAAAGTTAAAATATTGTATGAAATAAATGTAGATTGGTTGAAATAAATTACAATTATATGTGTATGAGCTACATGCGAAAATAGTATGTCAAACACTATCCTTCCATCAAACAATACAATTTTATCAAAATTATTTCACTGAAATTCAATAATAACACCTCCTATGTTTACTTTCATAACATAACATTTACTTCAAATAAAATTAATTTAGTTTTATCACAATTTTAAAACAAAGAAATATCAGTTGTATTTTCATTAGTTATTGGTATTTGGGAACAAAGGCTTGATGACGTAAAGGAACTGGAGTTAGTTTTGCTAGTAAACCCACTCTACTATACCTAACCCTTAGAAATGCATAAGATACTCTGTTTGTCTATTTGACAGTATTTGTATTGTTTAGTATATTTTTGAAAGTACCTTATTAACATCTAACAGTTATCCGATCAACCATTAATGAGGAACAGACAAATAAAAACAAATAACATAATCATTACTAATAAGCCAAATGGGTTGCTCATGAACACCCAATGCAAGGTAAAGTAGAGTGAAACCACTGAACTCAAATCATCTTTCTCTCGCAAAGCACAGTAAAACAAGTCTATTATGAATAGACCCGGGACCGTTGGACCGATCAAAGGTGTTCCAATTTGCAGGTGTTCACATTTCAAGGTTTTATAAACATGCGGGTCAATGGGAGATCAAATTTGGGAACTAGAAAGTGTTCCCATTGAGAGATATTTGAAAAAGAGAGGTGTTCAGATATACAGGTTTTACTGTAATAGAACAACAAAGTAATAGACAACTGTGGTCTCTCACGGTGCAACGGTGTATAATACCACATCCTGGAACATAGAGTAAATTTTAATGTGGACAATTCCCTGCCTACATTTCTGAATAAGGACAAATGTCAAGAGGATGGGAACATGAAAGTTTTAAGTATGTGACGTAAAGGGCTGGGCTCAAGGGAAGTTGTACCCTTTGTTTGCTTTAATTGATATTTTAAGTCAGCCGATATAATAATTTTGCTTTTAAGTATGGTACATTAGGTTTAAATATAATAGCAAAGGTTCAAAGATAGGCTAATAGCAATTATGAATAAATAGTATAATGGATCCCTTATTCAAATAAAATAAAACATTATAGAGGATGAAATTGTAATGAATATCACTATGGTAATGGCCAGAAAAATATCTGTCCCATAACTAATTTATTTGAGTAAGGACATAGTCTTGTAGAGAAAAATTAAATAGATAATACGAGGGGTGATCAATAAGTAATGGACGCTTTTTTACACAGATACTTTTTATAGACCAATCCCTTTGATTTTCCTACCAGTGATACATCATTCAATTATCTATCAATTCTGAAGATTTGAAGACAAGATATACAATACATGTTGATATATCCTTATTTCCGCGAAGGAGGTACAGGTACCCCGGGACCGACATTTACGTCACATATTCAGATTTTAGCCAGTTTGGTAAATTTCAGTTAGATTTGAACATTTTAAATGCAACAAGTGTTGTGTTGTTTAAAAAATTTTGCTGACTGGTAACACATAAACAGAAAATATTGTAATGTCAGAGTGTTGTATGGAAGGGGTTTGCAGGTCAATTCGAGAAAGCATTCAGTGGAAGAAAGGGGTGGTGAGAGAAGGGAACACCCTACTCCATATGGACAATGCACCTGCCCACAGATCTCAAAATGTTCAGAAAACAATATCCCTGGACCTCAAAATTGAGCCCTTGGCCAATGCACCATATTGTCCAGATCTGCTCACATGTGACTTGTTTATTTCTAAACTACTTATTTCTATAGAGAAAGGACGCAGGTTTATTGACATTGATGAAATAAAACAACCCGTGCAACTGCATCTTGCTACCATGTCAGAGTATGGATTCAGCCTTGTCTCACAATCTTGAGTGAAGAGGATGAGGAATTGTGTACATGTAGCACTTGATGGAAACTATTTAGAGGGCCCTGTGGAATAAATGTGGCATGAATACCACATAGTGATGATAAAATATTCAAAATTATTATATAATTACTATGGTATAACAAAATGGGGTAATTCATGACCATAATGGTTTGTTTTGTTCAGCCTGCATTCAACTGCATTGCATGTTAAACAATCTAAAATAGCTTCAGAATATGTGACGTAAATGTCGGTCCCGGGGTACCTGTACCTCCTTCACGGAAATAAAGTTATATCAACATGTAATATATATATTGTCTTCAAATCTTCGGACTTGATAGATAATTGAATGATGTATCACTGGTAAGAAAATCGAAGGGATTGGTCTATAAAAAGTATCTGTGTAAAAAAGCGTCCATTACTTATTGATCACCCCTCGTACAATAAAAATACAGGGTATTAACATGACAAAATGTCACCACCAAGTTGCTCAAATCTGAAATCTCAAGTCAGATTTGAACTTCTGAGAACCTGTAGGCCTAGATGATTTTGAAAAAAAGACATTTTTGACCTTTTTTGATATACCCTGGGAAGGTCAAATCTAAAGTCAGATTTGAACTTCTGAGAACTTGTAGATTTGTTAGTAGAACTTGCCCATTCTGAAAGATTTGGTCAATTTTGAAGTTGAAAAAGACCTTTTTCTGACCTTGAGAAGGTCATCAAAGATCAAATCTCAAAACGTGTACATGATTTAGAAAAAAATGAAGTCAGTCTAAACAGCATTTGTAAAAGTTATTGGAAGTTCTAAGAATTTGTTACAAACGCCAACTGCCACCCAGTCACAAAAAACGGAGACCGTAACATAACAATATGTCCCCACTTTTTGGTGGTGACATAATTATAGTAAAAATATATAACTCATTATATGGAATGTAATTATATTTCAATAAGTAATAATTATTATATAAATAATATATATAATGTATGTAGGTATATAATACATTGATAATTGACAAATATGAGTCGCATTTTGACAAATCAGCTAATTTTGACACTGTCATATAAATTTCATATTCTGGGAATTTTAGAAAATATGTTCTTATTTTGAATGTGTCGAAATTATCTGATAGAACCTGTAAGAAGCATGAATATATTTACTTTTTTGCAAAATGATAATTATAGCAATATAACATTATGACATCACTTTGTTTCGCAAAATACAGACTTAGTGGGAAAGTATCTGCTTTATTACTTTCCACAAATTGAGAAAATGGAATCCATCCAACAGCGCAAACAATCATTTGGTTCTTGAATAAGGGAGTTGCTATATGGTTGAATAAATAGACTGCCATTGCCTTAATGTTAATAACTTGCTACAGTCACTGAATTTCATGATTTATCAAAAAGTGGTGGTTGAATCTGTCTTACTCTTGAATGGCACATTATGGGATGACCCTGTCAATGTTCATATTGTGATTTATCATGAACATTTTGGTTGTTGAACAAATAAACCTAGGTTTTCAAGAATTTTGACATTGCATCAATGGTGATTTGGCCCCACATTTTTTTAGAAACATTGAAAAAGTCATGGAAAATGATTTAAATAACTGTATAAATCAAAGTTATGATTATGGAAAACTTTTCACTAAATTCAAATATGCTATCAAAAATAAGGAGGTTTAATATGCAAATGTCTTTAATTCTTGCCAAAAATACAGGATTCAGCAAAATTTCAAAGCTGTATTGCAATTGCAAAACCTACCATGTTTTATTATGCAGTTATTAATTACAGTAAAACTTGTTTTTGTGAATATTTCTCGCTGGGAACGATGTTGCCCATTCTGTATCTACACCTACAGTGAACACTTTTGTGATTCAATAGGTATTCACTTTACACATGTTTACTAAACATGAATTGATAATTTTACATTTTTAAAACTAAAATGAGTTGAATGGTTATAATCTTTGCATGCATGTTATATTTCAATCATTTTTTTATGTATGTTTAAAATCTAAGAGGAAACTTGAAAATATTTTTCGAGTATTATCCAAAAGAAATTAAATACATTACAGCCAATATCAAAATCATGAAAACATTTTAAAATTGACATTATAAATATTTTAATTATGATGGAAACTGACATGATGAATATCAAATATAAGATCATAAAGTAAAGGTGTCCATAAATAACCACTTATTATACCCACAAATCTTTACAAACAATGTTATTAAGTAAATAAGTAGAATTCAGATTTGTAGTCCTGATAAGATTTAAGGTAATATCTGACATTTTCTAAATTTATCCTGGGGTGGGAGTAAGATATGGAACAAATTAAGAATTCTAGAAGCATGCTTAAAAGTCATATAATATATTATGCTATTAAAGTTTTACATGCCTATATTCAACTTTTTTCTCAAGTATATATAATATTTTATGTACATTACTATTAATAAACTTTATTATAACTATACTATCTAAAATCATTTAACGATATTTTCGGAGGTGATTCGGGATAAAACTTTTTCTTGAATTCGTCATCATTTAAATCCAAAGGTGGAGGAGTCCGGCTTCTTAACCTTGAACCACCATGAGTTGGTTTGTCAAGTGTAGGAGGTGACGTCACTTTTCTACTTTGTGACATAATTGGACTGAGATCGTCTTTACTATAAAGTTTACTGCTCGGCCTTGTATACTTTCGAGTGACGTATGATGAGTCTATGCTGTCTTCAGTTGTATTCAGGCTATCAATTGTAGAGTCAAAATCATAGCGTTCCTTATATGGGTATGATGCTGCCCGCTGTTGCTTGACTGCTTCTGAATGTTTTTGATTGGTGGAGTATTTCCTTCTAGAAGTTGAGTCTTTCAAAGGTGAACGTCTCTGCTGAGATAGCAGTACTGGACGGGTGCGTAGAGATTTTACTCCAGTGTCATTTGAAGGTGGAGATTTCAATGGGCTCGTAGTCCCTCTTGTATTATATTTTGATACTGGTTGACTGCTTGGGCTCATATAGCTGCTATCACTAAAAATATATGGTTTCTCATTGATTTGGACACGACGTGATTTTTTGGGTGATGCTGTGGGGCTTATACTCGCCAGGTGGCTTGTCATGGAGTCTGCATCACGCTTGTAATCCTGAAATTTTAAGAAATCAGTTAATAAATATAAAAGAAATATAGTAAAGCCTTGTGCGTTGAACACATTTGGTACCTCAAAAAAGTGTTCTACTTTGGAGCTGTTCCACCAGAGGTTTGTTTCAATTCAAGTTTAATAATGAGTTTGAGGTGTTGCACTTATGGAGGTGTTCCATTTACAGAGATTTATACTTTACAGGTTTTACTGTATCTAAAATGAAACCTGTAAAGTGGACCACCTCTAGAGGTGGATCTGCCTCTGTAAGTGGAACACTTTTCAGAGTCCCAAGACCAATTGACTTAAAGCTAAATGGACCTCTATAAGTGGAACAACTTACAAGTGGAACACTTTTTAGAGGTACAAATGGTGTTCTGTTTAGACAGGTCTTACTGTACAGCTAAATAACTTATTTCAGCAATGAGGCTTGTTACAATCATAGGCCCAGATTAAGAACTGTAGTAATCCATACATATAATCATATCCATACATATAATAAGCATGGATTACTACAGTACTAAACCTGGGCATATGGTAGTTAATGGCTTTGAAAAGTGTTCCACTTATGAAGGTGTTCCATTTACAGAGAAATCAGAGGTGTTTCACTTTTATAGGTTTAACTGTAAATGCATTTGATATTACTTGTTTCAGCAATGAGGTCTCAATAAATAAATGATTAATGCAGTTGGTTTAATGTGGTTTTTGAATTAGAATTCATAGAAAATGTTTGATGCTCTAAAAACATGTTATTTAATTAATGCTTGTTATTATCAAAGCTAGAATTAACCTTATAAGTAACACACAGATTGCATCTTTCATAAAGAAATACTGACTACAACTTATAAGTAAATACTATGCTACTACCGTGGTGATTAATAAGTGAAATAGATATATTTATTGTATTATCCAAACAAGGCATTAACATGACAAAAAGTCAACAACTTGTAAGGTATTGAAAACTGATACAGACGCCAAATGCAAATTGTTGTAGGCGCCAAACTCCAAACATCAAACGCCGGACACTGTCTTGTGGTGACATAAAAACTATTTCATATGCACTTAATGTGCACTCAGTGTTAAAGGATTAGAACAAATTCCAATTTTGAGTACAACAGTGAATATTTTTACCCTCTGTAGATTTCGTGGCTGTCTTGTGTCCGTTAATTCCTGTTTTAATGATGTCATGGTTTCCTGTAGCCTGGAATAGAGAACACAAGGGGTCATGATGAGAAGATGGGGTGGGGGTGGTGATGGGGGGATTGAACACAGTAAGTGACCACAAAGAAAAATTTTACCATAGTTTATGATTATGATAAAAACAATATTAGCCAACATTATTATCGCAGCTGATGATCATACATACATACATAAATCTTAATAATCAAAGAAATTACATTTCCTAGATTTTATGACCTATTTCTATATCTGCTTAATGGCTAGCAGCTGCCAATTATTGTTTAATTTTATTTTCCAATAATGAATACTCCCACGTTCCAATGGAATTGATCTATCTTTCTGATTTGCAATACAAGAAGACAGCAGAAATACAAATCTTAAACAATTTTTAATTAAGAATATGACATCGAAGTTTGATGCCTAAGGACATGACCTTAACAGGTGTTAAAATCAGAGTTCAGTGATCTCCTTTAGAATTTTTCTTCAAAAAGGTTCTGAATCTCAATTTCACCTGTTCTCGTCAGAATATCTCAATATTTCACCATTTTGACAGGGTGCCAACATATTTTCAACAGGGTGGCATGGAGCTTTTTAAGATTTTCAACAAAGTGTAGCACAGCCCCCAATCGATCTTAAGCTGATGGGAGTAATTAGCCTACCTTGAAAATCTATCTTGTATCTTCTGTCTCTCAGCATCCGAGTTCTGAAAATAGAACATTTAATAAACAATAATAATACAACTTGAAGAATAATATCAATTAGTATTGCTTTTATTAGACTACGCCCCACTCTGATAATTGTAACTCCTTCCTTACATGAAAGGTTACACATTCCAACCTATTTCAAACCATCTGTATGATGATACTAGACACTTTCTGGGTAGTTGGACTTTCCATAGGGGTGGCAGACGGCCCTCGGACCAATTTATACCCCTACCCCCAAAAAACCATGGGGGTACTTTAATACCAGCCAATAAAAAGAATACTAATGCATGCCAGATATTCATTGTTTTATATTGGGTAGGGCATGTTATGGTTAGTAAGTGCCAAAAATTTCCAATCTCTAACTTATATGGTTACCATAGAAACAGTATTTATATCTCGAAATATTCTCAATTTGACCCCCTCCCAAATGTGTCCCTTTGTTCTCAAAGTGAAATATTTGCAAATCTGTTTGGATTTTATGGCTGCTACTTTGTCAAAAATTGTATCAATATGTATATTTTAACATTTAAACACTTAAAAGTGTTCATAATGATCCTATAAATCAATAATTTTTATCAAATATAGTCACACATAGCTGCTTTTAGGGAAAAGTGGGCGTGGCACTTTTTGGTACGCGTGTACTTGTTGCAGCATTAAATGAAAAATACATATTATACTAACAACAATTGACATTTAATTAGCATCTACTTATGTTGTGTAACATTGTAATATGTTCATTATCATTATTAGACACTTTAAATATTTTATATAAGTGTTATCCTGACCCTTCCCTTTATCCCTACACCCTTCAAGGTGGGCATTACCAATCGTGTAAAGTTAACATTTCTGTTTGATTTATTTTTACCATAGACAAGGTACAAAAGCTTTACCATGAGTACTGACCTTATTAGGTGCTAAACTGATGAATGGATAGGTAGATGGCAACACTTATGCTGGTTGGACTACACGCTAGCATCTACCATAGACACATATTGATTTACCATATTTGTTATTTTGGATTAAAGTAAAACTGCTTTCGCACCAAACTTAATGAGATTCAGATTGTGTTTGAAACTATATGATCTTCAGATTTTGTGTGAACCTTAAATTCATGACAATCAAAAGAATTCAACATTTAGGAAGTCAACATTAAGATTTTTAACATCGTCTCAATGAGAATTTAGTGTGACCTTTTTCAGAAAGTTAAAGATCATAGAAAATTGAACATAATCAAAGTTCCTCAGTAGAACATTTAATCTCCTAAAATCACATTAAAAAACTATATCAGCAATATTTCCAAGCTAAATAGTATAAAAATTTCGATCACATCATTTGCAATGTTTTCATTATTCGATAGTTCAACCCTATATGAATTATTGATGATTTTAAAAGTGCAAGGAATCTAAATGAATCAAGGAAGCCAGTGATATGTATATGCCTTATTAATTGTTGACTTATACAATGAAATAGATTTAGATGCAAGTAGAAATAATTTTGCTTTACATCATTAAAAATTCAAAATTCAGTCAAATAAGTGATATCATATTTGAAATCTTCATGAAGAATTACATTTCTTCATGCAATAAGTTAACCTTTTAGTGAGTAGTTGTGACTCATGTAATCATGCACTTTGTCAGTAAAAGTTATTTATCCTATACTTAGTGTTATAGGTAAATAAAATGCATGAATATAATTGATACCTTAGGTGAGTGGGGATATACATGTACTGCATATCCCGCTTTATCCCATACTTGGTCGTGTTTCAGGTACATAAAATAGGTTTGTAAAAACTTATATTTTCATCAGCGGGCAGATATAGCTTTACATTCTGTTGCGAGCGGGCAGATATAGTATATCTGCCCACTCCGTCATAATCGCCCTTGGGCAGATATATTATATTTGAATCGGGATAGTTCCAATATCCTGAACCTCATATAGGATAATCTCTATGTATCGCCAGGTTTATCACCCGCTCAGTAATCCCCTGCAGGAATTTCATTCTGTGCAATTTCTCATATTTTCGTATATGATAAATAATTTTGGTTACAAGGTATAACCCTTGGGAAATACAATATTCTACCCTCAACCCCTCGGGGAGGTATATTGTATTTCCCTCAGATATATTGTATTTCCCTGTATTAAAAACTTCCCATTAATTAAACCTCATATATAATGCACACCATTTGAAGTATAAATCAAAACTATGAATTAGTGATATCCATGTTTCTAACGAAAGCATGAATTTGAAAGAAACAAACATTCTACTCATATGGTATAAAGATATTACCAGTTGTGTCCATTTTAGATTTGATTGAAGAACTTCATTAGAGGCAATTTTGAAATTACAATATATTAAAAGAGGCTCTGTTGCTTAGATGGGAGAATCAATTAGCTGCATTGTTCAGTTTATGACAAAATTGATGTTTAGTGTTACTTTCATGAACACCCATCCTGTAAAATAGCATTTTGAATCCAGTAGTTTGTATATCGATGAATTAGATAAGGCATTGTCGAGGAAAAATATCCAACAAGATTACTAGTTTGCTCATGAAATTAGGCATACTTTAACTTGAAACAATTTGTAACACTCAAATTTTGGGGTTTGGAGATCAAAGTAATAATGATGAAAAACAAGCAATTTTAAAATATTTAAATATTTAAGATTTTTGTTAGCCTTTGTTTTGTCTGTTTTATTCTCAAATAAATCATGGTCATCAATTCTATTGTGACATAATCATCATTTACCAATTTTAAAATTAAATATTACTGGTTAGAGAATGTGATTTCTTACTTTAGGTTATATTTATATCCCGATTTATATGTATAATAATAATTGATGAAGACGAATAGAGATTATCCTCTATGAGGTTCAGCGTATTAGAATTATCCCGAGGCCAATATAATATATCTGGCCGAGGGTCGTAGGTCCCGAGGGAAGATATTTTCTATTGGCCAAAGGCCTTAGGTCCTGGGGGAAAATATATAATATTCGCCAAGGGATAATCCTAATAGCATGAACTGACTATAGGATTATCTGTTTATCCCATATCAATCTTTCTTATCTGGTTCACATTGTTCAATTGGCCAGAGTTAGAAAGAATACAACCACATAAATGTATTCATGACTAATTTTGTTTTCTTGGCCTTAGGAGGATTCTCCTGTTTTTTAAGTATTCATCCACATATTCTCGAATCATTGATTATTAACGTATTAAGTATGCTACTTCCCTCATTGCTAATCATACACAAATGATGATTATGACTTAGTGGGCAGGTGTAATATATCTGCCCTCTCAGGCAGGGACATTAGCTATATCTGCCCGCTGATGAAAATATAAGTATTTATAAACCTGCTATATGTATCTGAAACATATCCAAGTATGGGACAAATGTATCTACTTTTTTTGATTGCATACACTAAACAGATTTGTTTAGGAATTATATGAAGTATTTCAAAAACATATACCGAACCACTATTGAAGGATCTAGGAATCATTGAAAATACAGCATATCAGAAACATGTGTAAATTGTTTATCTTGCAATTATTTTGCTAAATACTAATAGAAATTATACTGTACCTTCCAGAGAATAGCTTTTTTGTTAACTATGAGCCAATGAATGAATGGATGCATTTTATTATAACTGCAAAATGATGCTCTATGCAATTCATACGAAAAATAAATTTTGCCATATTAAAATCAAGTATAATCTTTAATCCATTGGATAGATCATGCATTGACTGATGTTGAGGTATTGATAAAAGAAGTGTCAAAATAGATTTTAGTGTTATGTATTAGGCAAAATATTAGGAAGGGTATAAATGGTCTCCAATCTTTCTAGTTTTGAGTATTACGTCTTCTTGCTTTGATTCAAATTATCCTCGGTCACTATTTGTAACCCCTCCCTCCTTCCCCATTTAGGCCATGGATATGGAGATGATTTAGAGGTTATGTGAAGGATACTAGGGAAGGGTTAATAGCCAGAGTTAAATTAGTTCATTTAAGTTTAATCATAAATGTTATGCAATTCACACTAGCATCAAATATCATACCAAAAGGATTGAACTGTTTATTACTTTTCAATTGCAGTAAACATGGTAAAATGGTTCTAAATATTGAACATTGTTGAACAAGCATAGATGACTTGAATGGCTCTAGATGACTTGAACGTATCCATTCATATTCTAGGAACAAGTCAATGAATAAGTAAGACTTGACTCTTGACAGGCTTAAAAGACCGAGGACCCTATAAGACTTAAACTAAAAGTTCATTTGACCATTGATGACCTATGATAGGGAAGGGTCAGGATAACACATGTATAAAATATTTAAAGTGTCTAATAATGATAATGAACATATTACAATGTTACACAACATTAGTAGATGCTAATTAAATGTCAATTATTGTTAGTGTAATCTGCATTTTTCATTTAATGCTGCAACAAGCGCACAAGTACCAAAAAGTGCCACGCCCACTTTTCCCTAAAGCAGCTATGTGTGACTATATTTGATAAATATTATTGATTTATAGGATCATTATGAACACTTTTAAGTGTTTTAATGTTAATATAGATATAATATTACACATTTTGACAAAGTAGCAGCCATAAAATCCAAACAGATTTGCAAATATTTCACTTAGAGTACAAAGGGACACATTTGGGAGGGGGTCAAATTGAGAATATTTTGAGATATAAATACTGTTTCTATGGTAACCATATAAGTTAGAGATTGGAAATTTCTGGCACTTATTAACCATAACATGCCCTACCCAATATAAAACAATGAATATCTGACATGCATTAGTATTCTTTTTATTGGGTGGTATTAAAGTACCCCCATGGTTTTTTGGGGGTAGGGGTATTAATTGGTCTGAGGGCCGTCTGCCACCCCTATAGAAAGTCCAACTACCCAGAAAGTGTCCAGTATAATCATACAGATGGTTTGAAATAGGTTGGAATGTGTAACCTTTCATGTAAGGAAGGTTGCATTTCTAGAGCACTTCTACAGAATGGCTTACAGTCTATATCACTTTAATGTGACAGTTATCTTAACAAAAACAATAAAGAATATATTCATAATATATTTGGAAGTTTGCCTTCTGTTTCTATGGAGTTGACCTTTTGTTGCTATGGAGTTAACCCTTTGTTGCTATGGGGTTGATTTTCTGTTGATTTGGAGTACCTTTTAATAATTTCACATCTCACTTTTTCTCTGAGTAATATTTTGAGAACATTTTCACCCATAGCGGCAAATTATTAAGATCTCTCTATGAATGTAAATCCTTGAATCTGCCAAAACCATATGTTAAGGTAAAATCAAATCTGATCAGACACATCACCTATGGCCAAGTGACAGATGTCTTGACCAAAGAAAATAGTGCCTTATTATGATAGTAAGTAAAGTTTGTTTTCTCAGTGTGCATTGTGTTTCCATCAAGTAGTTCAAAAACATGATTTTAGCTCTAAAATTGCACCAGAACACTCTTTAATTACTACACTACACAATTGCCACTACAATACACAAATGCCACTACAATACACAAATGTCTCTGCAACATACAGGAGTTGACAGTGGAGGGGAATCATGTTGTCAGTCAATCATATATGAATTATTACTTTATCAACTTTTCTTTAACCTGTTAACAGAATTATTGTATCCAACAGATCTTTATTTTATATTTGTCCAAATTTTAGCTATTTGAATCTTGCATACATGCTCTCTATCATTGTCTATTGTAAATTTGCCCGACCCTATCTATTCATTGTATATTTGTTTGAATTTATGAAATAAACCTATTGATTAAAAAACACTATATCAACTTCATTTAGCAGGGTTTTGGATTCATTTTCCACCATTTTCCAGTCGTATTCATAACGGTGATCACATTTTTAGGGAAATCCCTAGTATTAACTGATAATGCATTGCATGGTCAATGGTCAAAACTAGTGACCAATTTCGACCAATCAAAAGTATTTGAGGTAAGACTACCCATCTATAATGTTTTTAAACATTGGTGTTTTACCTCCAAATCATTGCAGAACATATGTATAAGTAACCATAGATGTCTCTTACTGGAAGAGTGCCAGTGTTAAAAAGTGTATATCTAAATAAATATATAATATCAAATACCCTGAGTCTTGCAAAGTCCTCTAAGAGCTGTTGCTTTTCCTTATCTGCCTGCTCTTCAACAGTTTGTGTGTGTTGTCTCTCAGCATCTAGATTAACAGATAACTCAACCACCTGTTCCTGTAGTTCACTCACCTCCTCAGATGCCTCATTCTCTTTATCAGACAGAACTACAACAGCATATGGTACAATTATATTCTTGATTTCAAAATCCACTCTTTGAAACATGATTTTGTAAATACACCATACGAAACATCATTACAGAGATGCACACTCTGATATATGATTTCAAAGTGCATTCTGGAAAACATGATTTCTGAAATGCAAGATTTCAAAAATGCACTCTGTTGAATTTGATTTTAAAAATGCACAAAGTGATTTCAAAATGCATTCTGAGAAACATGATTTCAAAAATGCACTTTGTGAAATATGATTTCAAAAATGCACTTTGTGAAATATGATTTCAAAAATGCACTTTGTGAAATATGATTTCAAAAATGCACTTTGTGAAATATGATTTCAAAAATGCACTCTGTGAAATATGATTTCAAAAATGTACTTTGTGAAATATGATTTCAAAAATGCACTCTGTTGAATATGATTTTAAAAATGCACAAAGTGATTTCAAAATGCATTCTGAGAAACATGATTTCAAAAATGCACTTTGTGATTGTTGTCAATGTTGCAACAATTTTGCTTGAAGATACAAAGTGCGACACAATGTTGTTAATCAAAGATGGTTTCTCAACATATTGAGCCTACCCTTTCTCTGATTGGCCAGTTCATCTATGATCTCATTTTGTCGATTTAGCTCAGTAGTAAAGAACTCTCTATCTGCTTGTGTCGCTTCTACCACTTCCTTCACATTTGTTCGCAACTTGCGCTCTTTCTCAAAATGAAATCGTAGCTCTGATTTCAACCATTCTAACTTTGCCTGTAATTACAAGATATACAGAAACTTAAACTGTGGTTTACTTTTGCTAAAATTGTAAATTATAATTCCTGAAAAAAGGATGTATTTGTGACCAAACCAAAATTTGTAACAGTTCAAAAAATGGTATATCGAAGGATCATGCAAGAAATAATTAATGACGTCACATCAGGGATTTTTTCAAAATGAGTGATCAATTTAATGTGAGATATAATATCCATATCTAATTGCATTTATGTTCATTAAGAAAATGATGTATTAATAAAACTGACCAATATATCAGCCACCCACTTCTGCCTATCTCCTAGAGATCTCTTAATGGATGAATTCTGAAAGGAAAAGACATCATAATTACTTACAAGGACATCAGACTACCCGATGTAATCAACAATGAATAATGGGCTGAAATGGAATTATTGTCGTATCTCAGTCCAATTTTACATCAGAAACAGACTTTCAGAAGTGCCTCCTCATGTACAGTCTCCTTCCCCAGCAAAATAATATTCATGGGTTGATGAATATTCATGAATATTCATGAATAATGCATGAACGTTCATCATTCATAATTGATGAATCATTAAAATCATTAAATAGAGATGGTTTGAAAGAAAGGTCATAGCTTAAACAGGGCACACTGTATAGTAGTAACGCAAAATCCTCCCAAGATATGGTACGAATATGAGGATGTCAGACAGACATATTGATAGACAGATTGGTGGATGGTGGTTTTCCCAGATGCCAATCAGATGAGTCAAAGTAGCTGCAGCTATTGACCATATGTCCAAATCCATAAGTGAGGAGAACAAACCATTGACCATTTCAAGAGAAAGCCCATGAACGAACTGAAGTCAGTATAAAATAAATGATACATATAAAATATATACATGAATAATCTGCAAGAGGGGAATATCCCATAATTCAAGATGAACCTATCTGAACATCCAGAGGTTCTGATCTCTACATAATAATATATAAAGTCAGCTATGAATTCTGGGTGAATTTCCTCCTCTTATGAATTTCCTCCTCTTATGAATACCTGGAATGTTGTTGTATTGTTTTGGTTTGTAAGCTTTGTAAGAGCATCAACGCTGCCATCTATATCATGAAGCACTTTCTAAAATGACAGATAACAAATTGTTGAACTGTGAGTATTTAAACTGTTGAACATGAATAAGGAAGATTTTTTTAAATAATAACCATTACCTTTTGGGAACCATAGTCTATTCCTTATTCAATTACTATAGTGATAAAAACCATTTTAAAAAAGTTAGTCAATAGTTTAAACAATCGACTATTATAAGAAATACAGTGTTGTTTTTATTCATAGTACATCAATTATTTGTTGATATTTAGTCTACATTTATAACTATCCTTGGAGTCATTAATAGAAACAGTCAAAAATTCTTAAGGTTATTGTTCTCTTACTCAAAGACCCTCAAATTATGATGACATCTATTTGAAATTCTTACTTGAACATCTTGCTCTAGTCTACTATTGGCATCCTTCATGGAATATAACTGATCCTCCAGTCTTCTTGACCTGTCTAACTCCTCCTCCACTGTGGAACTCTAGCAAATATATTGGGATAAGGGTTATAGGGAGGGGGGTTTGGATAAAGGGTTTATTGAGGGAGGTACACATATTTCCTGAGGGATAAACCTGAATGTTCATTACAAATTTATCACATATCTACTAATAAAAAAATATTTATCCTACTCCTTAGATAAACTACATATTCCTGCACATTATACGCCTTGGTTCTTAAGGTATGGGATACGGATAATAATATGCATAACAGTGATATCGCTAAAAGTAACATAAAAATATGAAAGAAAAGTTAGCCGAATCTGACAGATGTATGAGTGAGGTTCTATATGTATAATATGCATAGGCATTATTGCTCAAGATTACTATAGTATCCAAGTCTTGAACATTTCAAATGACAAAAATTCTGTCAACAATATTCAATGATAATTTAGTCATCATGTCGAATTTTCATCACAAGTAATTTTTGAGCTGATCCCTTCCACAATTATGGGACAAAACCCAGATAAAGGATAATGGAAATCACTACCATCATGGATACCATGTGTTTAATTGTTAAATGCCACTGGGTGTATGTGTTATAGTAACACATTTAACATTAAGTAGAAAATACTGTAAATTGCTGTCCAGCTACATAATGGCTAAGAAAGGCCAAGCAAATCCCAACAAAATCATCTATCGTCAAGCATAAGAGGGGGATATCCCAGAATTTAAAGATGACTCCATTTTCATTTTGAGATGATCCTCTTTTTCATTGGCCTTTGATGATTCATAATGAAATCATCAATTCATGGAAACACAAACTGGCAGATTCAAAATTATGTAATTGTCAAATTTTCTTTTGTAATTAGCAATATGTGCATCAGTACAGACATACAGACAGATGGAGACATTCTCTATATTTGTCTAAAATTCTTTCGTTGCGATAAAATGATATCAAGGGGAAATGCTCAGAGGCTTTACATTACATTGTGATGTTCAATTTGTTCAGAAAGTTTTTAGAATATGAACATTGTCACGTTAATTGTTTCTCACTTTACGGGAAAACGTATCTTTGTTTAAAAACAAATCTAGTGTGCTGATTGTTTATTAACATACTAAAAAAATATATTGTTCTATTCATACCTTGAGTTCATATTCATGTCTTGCCTTCTGATACTTCCTTTCACTCTTGGCCAATTCCCCTTCCAACCTAAATAAAAGATTCAAAACAATAGACACTATTTAAAGGTTGTCAATTAATACAGTTACAGTAAAACCAGTATATCCAGGCTCCTCTATAATCTTAACACTGCTCAATAAGAACACTTTTTTCTGTCTTGATTTTGTAATCGACCATTGATTTCCATGTTTTAACTTGAAATGTAAACAATAAATAAATACAATACAATATACAAGATATAAAACAACAGACACTACAGTAAAACCTGTCGAAGTGGAACACCTCTGGTACTTCTAAAATATGTTCCACTTTAGAGGTGTTCCACTTTAAGAGGTTCATTTAACATTAAGTCAGTTGGTCTTAAGACCGTAAAGTGTTTCATTAACAGAGGTGTTTCACTTCTAGATGTGTTCAACTTAACAGGTTTCAATTACAGTAAAACCTGTATATCCAGGCTCCTCTATAAGCTCAACACAAAACTGCTCAATATGAACACTTCTTTCTGTCCAGATTTTACACTCACCCATTGTATTGTATTGTGTTTTTGTTTTTGACTGATTTATTAACTTGAAATGTGAAAAATTGCTAATCACTTTTGCCTGGTCTGCGTAGTGTTCAGGTTACACAGATTTTACTGTATACTGTATTCATAGTAAAAATTCAGTAGGCATCAATTCACTGCTTGAAGCAATTTCTAAAATGCATCCTCTATTAAGATTCATTAATTCAATTGTCCTTAGCAATAATGCCAATAAGTGGCATCGTAAAATACAATTGAAATTCTAGATTTACGTCAGTCTGCCAGTTTGAAGTGCCTGAGGACTTTTTCATATAACTAGGTCAGAAGAAAAACAACTTTAGCACTCAATTTAGCCCCATTCTAGAGAATAAATATCTGAATTCTTTCATTTTATAGTTTTTTCTAGATAACTTCTTTTTGAAACCATATGCATGGAAAATAGTATTGATGTTTCCACATTTGAAACATCTTCATAAAACTATTTTTGCTGAGATAAAAAATTGGAAAGCGTAACTGACACTAGACTTTTCTGGTGATCCAAAATATGCATCAATGACAGAATAAACATTTGCAGAATCAATAAAATAAATTAGAAGATGGTTGACTGTCAATTTGAATCTATAAAATGCTGATGAATGATGATGTCTAATGAAATTCTCTTGTTTTACTGTTGCTTGATTGTTAATTTCTTGTTCAACAATTGATTGATTGTCCATTTCTTGTTTTACAGTTGATTGATTGTCCATTTCTTGTTTTACAGTTGATTGATTGTCCATTTCTTGTTTTACAGTTGATTGATTGTTAATTTCTTGCTTTACTGTTGATTGATTGTTAATTTCTTGTTCTACAATTGATTGATTGTTAATTTCTTGTTCTACAATTGATTGATTGTCCATTTCTTGTTCTACAATTGATTGATTGTCCATTTCTTGTTCTACAATTGATTGATTGTCCATTTCTTGTTTTACAGTTGATTGATTGTTAATTTCTTGCTTTACTGTTGATTGATTGTTAATTTCTTGTTTTACTGTTGATTGATTGTTAATTTATTGCAAAAGTCAAGCAATTTCCAATTCCATTATATGACAAAAATATTATTATTGTGTTTACCTCTGCAGTTTGTCATGAAGTTCCTCTATTTCAGCTGTAGATTTCTCCTCTCTCCTTTTAAGCAGCTGTAGAGAGGATCTGTCCTCTGATAGACTCAGCTGTAAAACACAGTAATTAACTACAGTAAAACCTGTAAAAAGGAGCACATCTAGAAGTGGAACATCTTTGTTAATGGAACACTTTTCACAGTCCCAAGACCATTTGACTTCATGGTAGATGAACCTCGATGAGTGGAGCACCTCCTATAAGTGGAACACATGTTAGAAGTACCAAATATGTTCAACTTAGACAGGTTCTACTGTAAATTGTTTCTATACTCAGTCTCTGGTAATTTGAACATACAGAAATATAAATGCAACATCAAAATCCATTGATGTGACTATGGAGAATTTATGATATCATGATTAGAGAACAATTAAAGAAGACTAGAAATGTTTAAAGGTTACTTCAGGACTTTTAGGGATTCTTACCTTGAGAGCTTGGATTTCTGCTTCACCCTCTGCTTTCTCTCGTTTTATTCTCCTGGTTAATTCCTGAGTTATACTTGCTTCATGGCTCTACAATAGCATGGCTGTCTTAGAAGATGTGCAGATTATCAAACAATTAATCTTTGTAATTCCACAAAAGTTTACTTGCTGGTGTATCAGTTAACGAAATTATAAGTAAAGCGCCAGAAGGCAAGGAAAACCCTGATATCTTAAGGACAAAAATAATGACATTTTTCAAATCTAAACCATGGAGTTCGGTCATCATACATTTTCTATCTATAAATATTTCCTCTAAAATAACATAATATGTGGCATCTAGGCTATTGTTATGTTATGTTCACTTACTATATTTTCCAATGGGGATAATGGGGCCATAAAAAAAGCAATGGGATGCAGATTCTGTTTGTTGGAACAAACATGCTTTTAAAACACAAAACTTGAATATCTCCAAAAGTTACACTTTACAGAGTCCCATAACCAAATGACTTTAAAATAGTATGTTAAAATCAACCCCTGTGATCACCTTCCAAATTGAACACTTTAAAGAGGTGTTCAACTTAAAAAAAGGTTTACTCTCCAGGGCATCCACAAAAAAGTATACCCAATTTCAATGCCAGGTTACTAGAATTCTGAGCAATTTTTAAGAAATACAAAGGTAGCAGTAAAAGGCCTAGTTTGTCCTCCATCAAATGTTACCTACATCGTTAAGCAACTGTGTCATGGATGACTGAGCAATCATGATCATTATGAAAGGTGGTAAAATCACCACTGTGCCGTGTACATGAACAAGTATCAGGGTGCCACCCCATAGCCAGTTAATTAATTTCAATCTGGGTAAGCTTATTTTTCAGTATGTGCATGGAGAGTAAAATATGTACGTGGCAATTGATCCATAATAACTAACTAATCCATAGGTGCTCTAAAGGTCTAAAGACACGCCCTAAATGAGAATCTTACCTTTGATTGTTCAAGTTGTTTGACGAGGCTGTCTTGAGTCGACTTCTGCTGCTCCCGCTCTTCCCGTAACTGTCTATCGTACATCTCTAGATCCTCACGTAAGCCAGCTTCATTACGCCTGCACTCGGACAATTCCATCTTAAGCTCCTGAAATAAACGAAAACATCAGTGTTCAAATATATGGGAATATTGCACACAGAATTCATAAATGAATTCATTATTCTGAGGAATTTGCAGTTTACTGACCAAGATACCTAACTCTATGGATGAAATAATGAGATAATCATTTTAAGCCGCACTGTACTTAAAGTGCCATTTATTCACACTAAAGCAAGAACTCTTTTGAAATCAGGTCTATATCAACTAACCATCAAAAAATTTGGATTCACCAACCAGTCACCTCACTCCCCATCTAAAAAATGAACTGATCATTTACAGAGGTAGTATATTTACTTACCTGTACTGTGGAGATCTCATCTTTTAATTTGTTCATGATATCAGCTTTCTCCACTGTGACCTCATTCATATCACGCTACAACATAACAAGATTGGATAAGGGTTCAATATAAACAGGCAATAGCAATAAATAACAAGGCAATAACATTCAAAATGTCACCACCTGCCATTTGTTACAGACACCAACCACTTTTACAGACACTGCACACTGTTACAGATGCTGAATGCCGAACATCAACTGCCAAACACAAACCGCTGAACACCATCCATAAAAAGGTTTGAGACTATAACAATATGCCACCACTTGTGGTGTTGACAACAAACTAAACAACAACAGAACTTTAGTTAAACATCAGACATAAGACATAATGGTTCTTATCCTCTTGACTACCTAGAGTGATGAGATTTCTTGTCACTTCAGAAAATGACCTTAAAACCCAGTGTGACGAGAAAATCCGTCACAAATTGTTCACTAAAATTGCTCTTATTTAAACAATTTTCGTCCAATTTACACAAAAATTGTGTTAAAATGTGTAGAAATGATCTCTGCCGTCTAATCTTACTAAGTTGAGCATCTAAAGTTGTATAGGTATGTGGTAAAATGTCAAAAGGTGGCAAAAATGAAAAATTCTCTGGTTTCAACCAATAGAGCCTGGGATTCAAGAGGTTAATTCAGCTGTTCAATACATTGTCAACAATTAATGCGACCAAAATTAAAAACCAAAAGGTTGAAATTTTTAACATTTCTACTGAAAGCTAATTATATGAAAGTATATTTTGAATAAGTATATGAAATATGATATGATATGAGAAAATGCATTCAAAACTTGCATTCAAAACTCCGCAATTGATTTTAAAAAATCATTCATCTCATTATTTCAAAGCCACTCACTTACCACCCATCTTTGAAAGCAAACAAACCATTTGGTTTTGGAGGTGGAAAATGGTTTTGTTGAAAAAAAAGATCTGTTTTTGTGCTATTTTGAAATCAAAACATCCCCCAATATCCCCCTGACTTGACTAGCCTGATTAAATATAGAATTGTCTAAATGTATGAGATGACAAATTATATATGATAGTTGTTTTGTCAGAATAAAATAAGTTAATTGATTCTTCTAATCAGTGAATTATCACGCCTAATACTGAACAGGTATTGCCTATTAAATTCATCCAATTAATCAGATACTACTTGATAAGAGACAAAGGGGGAAAATGAATACCTTAATATCAATTATTCAGTTGCACTACCTGGTATTGATGCAGCTGATCCTGGGCGGACAGCTGAGCAGCCTGGACCCTCGATAACTGTTCTTCCAGGCCATTTTTCTCATGTTCGAGCCTTTCAAATTTAGACTGAATCCCCTTGACATCCAGTTCCATCCTATCTAGTACAGATCTCGTGTCACGTAACTCTTTCTCTAAGTCCATTTTCACAGATTTTAACTCATTCACCTTAAAATACCTTAATATTCTACAACTAACTTACAAATGTATTAACAGACCCGATTCTTTTCCAAGTGACATTTTTATTGACTTCTTTGGAAAAAACAATAGTGTTCATCAACACAATGCACTAGACAGAATGAACAAGTTCATGTAACAAAATTCAAAACCAATTATTTAAGAAACAGTTTCAAAGTACAAGGTGAAATTATCTGGAATAAAATTCCTAATACTATTAAACTTACCAATAATATTTATAAACTAAAACGTCTTTTTAAAGATGACACTTTTTCAAAATACTGATTTTGATGTTCTGCAAACGTAAGGTAATTCCATCCTCTTTATTGTACATTATTTTTTACCAATGTTTTTAATTCATGAGACAAATTATGGTTCACCCAGTGTCATGTTGTGTTAAACTTTCAAGCACTTGAAAATTTTAGAATAGTGATTTTAAATGTGGTCAAGTATATACCTATGTAGGTGTCACGACCACGAATATGTAAAAATGTTATCATGTTTTAATCAAATAAATAAAAAAAAATAAATAAAACATATAGTGGATATACAGAAATATTCATAATATGGCTTTAAAGGGGCTTGTTTGTAATGTAAAGGTTCAAATGAGGGCATGAGCATTAGCAACCTTAGAACTGATATGATTTAGAGTCGAATATTTATAAATGAGTGAATTACAGAGGGAACTGATCCATTAAATGCGAACTTCTCCTTTTCAAGTTTTATAATTTATAATCTTTTGACTTCCATGAAAGCAAAATGTTACTGTAGTGGCTTTGGGGTTAAGATATGTTCTGAAATATATACAATATATATCTCACAATGATTTTAGACACTTATTCCCTCAGGACGCATTTCATTTCCTTAGTCACATAATTCAATCCATTCCGCCTCCTTCAAATCCAAGAAACATAATAATAAGAACTAATCAAGCCATGCCCCAAAACCAAAACAAACTAAATTGATTTTTACCACGAATTTGTGTATAAATAACATGTAAATTCCTTACCTCAACATCCTTTATTCTTAACTGCTCATCCTGTTGGGCCCGAACAGACTGAAAACACAAAAGATCACATAAAAGGAAAGGTTTTTCTTTTACTACCCATGTACATCTAGAACGAAAATATGTAATACATGTACCGGTGTAAAAGGTCCTTTCAAATTTTGGTCCTACTCTCTATTGATCTATATGGTGACCTAATTACAATTATTTTCCTTATTATTTATTCACAGTCAGGGCCAGTAAGGGCCGTAGGGAAAGGGGACCATAATCCCCAGGGGTCCATAATTTATTTTACACCGGTGCTCTCCATTGGATTTTTCGCAAGTGGGTGCAAAATTCAATGACCAAATTTGGTCAAAATCTGCCCATTTTTCATGATTTTTCTCATTTACAATAAAAGGGTGTACAAATAGAATATCTGGTGGGTACAAGCCTATTAAAATCGTAAAGGCGTAACATTTTGCTGATATTACTAAACTTAGAATTTGATTGATTTTCCATGGCACCCCATTGTTGTACAGATCATGGTAATCTCGTAATGAAAGGTTACAAAAATTAACAGGAGGCAGAAAAGTTATTTTTATGTCTGCTAGTGGGCATCACAATACAAACTAGAAAGTAATGACAATATTTACATATTCTAACAACTGTGATTTTTGGAGTGATGCAAGCTGTCAAAATAAGGAACGTCTATGTAAGTTAAATATGCTATGAGTGGTCAACAGTACATACTATTGACCTCATGAGTAATCAATAGTTACATACTGATTATTGACCTTGGGAGGTCAAGAATATTCACTATTGACCTCATGAGCAGACAACAGTATTGACTATTGACCTTTTTGGAGTGGTCAAATGTATTAACTATTGACCTTTGGAGTGGTCAAACGTATTGACGATTGACTTCATGAGTTGATTTTTGACCACACAATTCATGACAAGTCCAGTTGAAAATTAATATCTACAGGTATATTTAACTTAACAAAATAGTCACAGAACAAAGTGAATGTAGCTGCCCAAAAAAAGGAATTTGAAAATAATTGAAGAAAATCTGACAAATGGTTTGCTTGCAGTATCAATGACAAAAAAAGCTAGAAAATTAAAATCTACAGGTATACTTAACTTAACAAAATAGTCACAACATAAAGTGAATGTAGCCGCCCAAAAAAAGGAATTTGAAAATAATTGAAGAAAATCTGACAAATGGTCTTCTTGCAGTTGCCATGACAAAAAAGCAAGACACCACCACAAGAACAATCGCAACCATGACACCACAATGCTGTGGTCTGATAAAAGACGCAAGATCATTTAACGAAATTGAGACATTTATATGATTGCCACAGACTGATACAGGCAACTCAGGATATAAGTTGATGCAAAAAAAAAATTATCAAACGATTCATATCACAATATGTACATTTGGGAATTAAAAAATAACATGCTCAACAAAGGGTTTGGACTCAATAAATGTAAAAGTACCTTTGATGTTAGATGCTGATATACGGAGATAAACATATCCATTGTGATGCGCACATATCAAAACTATAAGCAATTAGTGCACAAAGGATCACCGCCCAAAACAAGTATAGTTTACATTACACCCATGAATAATTAAGTAATTGTAATTAAGCTGAAGTTTGTGCTAATACATTAAAGCCCATAACAGGGTAGTGTGTAACCAGATCCAATATCTAAGTGCTTCCCAGACCCGTAGCCAGGGGGTTCGATGGGTTCGAGCAAACCCCCCCCCCCCTGGCCAAAAAATCGTTCAAAATCATGCAGTTTTTCACCATTCTGAGTACTTAATCAGTGATTTTGGCCATTTTTGGACCAAAATTGTCACAAATGAACCCCCCCTGGAATTTTTAAAAAGTGAACCCCCCTTGGCAAATCCTGGCTACGGGCCTGGCTTCCCATCATGTGTGTGGCTTCATATAGGCTATCTGATTGTACCAACCTATCTACGTAATCTACCTATTCCAGGTTGGTAAATTGCACACTGTCAATAGATATATTAAAGAAGTCTACAAAAATATTTATTCTCTTTTTAATATTTTTCTAGAGTGCTTATAATGCTCTTATGGCGATTAGCACTTAATGATACTACTTTGCTCACTATTTGAACAATGTAATGATAAAGTAATTATGAACGAATAAACAAATAAAAAATATTTCAGGGGTTTAATTAGCAGCATGTACAAGGAGAAAATGTCCTGTATTGATGATACCAAAATTGCGTATTCTTTTGATAATTTTTATGTAAAAACTCGACTAATTTTTATTGTTGTTATTTGAAGAGGACAATTTCTTTATTTGTTTATTAGTCTAAAATTATTCATTTTTGAAACAGAAAACTTAATTATATATATGAAAAGCCACAATTTGTCCAAATAAAGTATAACTTATCAATATAATTCTTTAAAGGCCCTATGTAAAGTTTGAAACTATTGTTTAATTATCCAAATATTATTTTGCATGGTTTAAAAATAGTTTGAGACATTTTTTGACTTTTGCAGAAAAATTTCATTGGTTTTAGTTCTACAATTCCAAGTTCACATGTGTCCATGTCTATTTGCCGAAGGAAATTTTCAATAGCTGAAATAAAATTGTCCTTTTTATAGACCAATAACATGACTTTATGAACCAATAACATGACTTTATAGATGAATAACATGGCCCCCGTGGTGATATAACTGAGATATTGGCCAAGAGGTCTCCATTCGACAATAGGGAGTTTAAGCTTGCAATGTTTTTCACAACCTAAACATGAACGTAAAATATTTAAACAATGCATTTGTATGGGCGATTGGTCAAACGTATAGGTTGGCATTTCGATTTTATATGTAAGCTTAAACGCCCTTATGTTCTTCCTAGAGGCAAATTATCAATTAACAATAAGGACAATCTTAATCCAAATACAAAACAAGAAAATACAACATTAAGATTGATATATTATTGATAATTTCTGATGATATACTCGTGTAACAGTAGTAAGCGTAATCAAAAATATTAAATATGAGAATGTCCACTTGTGTGCACGGTTTTTAAACCAGATATCTAATATACATTTTCTTGTGAATTTAATGTGTTATTTTGAATTTGCGTTTATTTTCATCATGATTTCAGGATTTCTCCCTCTTACTTTATACAATATGCAGTAACAAATAATCTAACTTAAGTATTTCCAAAAATACTGCACTGAAAAAACCAAACACTTGGTACTGAATCGGTGTCATGTAAAATCATGATTACAAAGAGAATATTTAATAGACATGAACACCTTTCTCTAATGAACATCTGTCTCTAGTGGACACCATTCACACATACTCTCCTGACTTCTGTATAAATGTTCAATATACACAGGTTTTACTGTAGCTATCGTATATGAAATTTATTCTAGGGTATATTACCTTAAGTAAAATTTACGTGTTTTATAAAACAGGAAGCATCTAACGTGAACCCATGTCTGACTTACCATTGATACAAGCAACCAAGCCCATTGTTATGATTATAGTTTTGAGTTGGTCCCTATTATATCAATTAAAATTCCCTAGCAACTAAATGCAGAACATTGAATGTGATGGCACTTATCTCTATCTATTATACCCAGATCGCAGGAGAAACAAGAACTATAACTAATAATAACTAATAAAAATAAAAATTGATTCTGAAATAAATGTTTAGAAAACAATATATATGGAACAAACCCAATATGCTGGTTATAAATAGCTGGTTACCAAATCTTTTACTAAACTAATCAAACTACGCTAAAAAAAATTGGATATTGATCACAACTTTGACGAATATAACCATCCCACACGCACATTTACATTACACAGGTACACCATTAGATTACAAAAACAGTTCAAAAACATAGAAACCAAAAGTTACATTAAAATATAGGGAATCCTTGGATTTCGTCGAATGGATTGGACCGTATAGAAATGTTTTAGCTTTGAGTGAGATCTGGTTCAAGAAGATATCATTGTACATATCACTTATCATAACTCTGAAAAGAAAATATTGGAGTTTGTCTCAAATTCTATAAACTAAATTGAACCTATTGATAACGCAGTAGAACTGATTATTTGTAATTTTGGATTAATAGGATACAGTGGAAACAGCAAAAGTGGAAAAAAATCAGAGAAAGAATTCAACAATGGAAACCACAATTGATATTTCAATGACTGAGACAGTAACCGTGACAACTATATACATCATACTTATTGTGTTGGGTTTCTTTGGCAACCTCAGTGTCATAGTAACAATGCTTGCTGTGAAAAAGTTCAGGAGACCGCAAAACATCCTCATTGTGAATTTAAGTGTCTCTGATTTCCTAGTAACAGTAGGCTGTTTACCTCTAACAGTTGGATCTATGGTTCAAAAACGCAATATTCTTGGTTTGGTGTTATGTGAGCTTCAGGGGGCAATGATCGGGACATCCTGCGTTGTCTCATTGTTCAGTATCACAGCAATTGCGATAAATCGCTTTATCAGTATCTGTCATCCGGGGCATTATAAGAAAGTCTACACGAAACGGAACACTGGGCTGATGATCGCTGGGATATGGATATACGCAACTCTAATCACGATACCCCCATTGTTTGGTTGGGGGGCATTTGGATACGAGAGACGCAACTATACATGTACAATAAGCTGGCGCAACAACATGTCCTACACACTGTTCTTGGCAGCCAACCTAATATTGATAGCTGAGGTGACAGTCGCAGCTTGCTACTATGCTATCTTCAAAGCTGTGAGAAGGAGTGCCAAGCGCATTGAAGACCACAAAGGGCAAATGAACCTTGGGGAAATGCCAAAGAAAAGAGACGATCGAGTAGCTATCCAGTTGTTTGTTATCTTCATCGCATACAACATTTGCTGGGGGCCTTACTTAATAACATCAGCCTTTATTGAATCTGACAATTTCAACATCTCAATGGTTGGGTTTTTCATTATGAGTGTCCTAATTGTATTGAATTCATGCTGCAATCCACCTATTTATTTCTTCATGAATCGACAATTTAGGGAGGCTATCACAAGTTTTTTTCCTACATGTAAATGTTGCCACCAGGATATCACAAGTCATAGCACAACCCCTACTACAAATGGTGGCAGAATGCATCCGAGAGACAACACAAACAACACTAGTTCATATGAATCAGAGCCTACAAGAACCTAAAGTATTTCATAAACTTACAATATCATGAATGTCAAGTTTATCATGAAACTGAAATAATAGGGAGTTTAAGCTTACAATGTTTTTTACAACCTAAACGTGAATGGAAAATATTTAAGCGATGCATTTGTATGGGCGATTGGTATAGGTTGGCGTTTCTATTTTATATGCAAGCTTAAACTCCCTATTATCATAAATGTGAAGTTCATCATAAAATTGAAACACACAGTGTAAACATGGTATTTTTTGCCGAGAACAATGTTCAGTGTTAGTAGGTATACACTACAGAGAGAGTAATTGATACAGAAGTGCAAGTCAGTAAAGTATGTGCAGAGGAAGGCATGTGTTCACTAAACAGAGGTATATTCATAAGACATGTTTTACTGCAATATCAATCATGGATGTGAAGTTTATCATGAAACTAAAATAATATCATAATTAATGAAGTTTATCATAAAATCAAATTTATATCATGGATGTGAAGTTAATCATGAAACCGAAATTATATCATGAATACAAAGTTTATCATAAAATTGAATTTATATCATGGCTGTGAAGTTAATCATGAAACTGATATGATATTATGAAGTTTATCATGAAATAATATCATTAATTTGACGCTTATCATGAAAATGAAAAAACATCATTAATGTGACCTTTATCATGAAAATGAAATAATATCATGAATGTGCATATTGTTACAGTATTATATTCTATTATATTCACATTAAGTTTAGTTTATCAATATGCATATACTGTAACTGATCTTCATTAGAGATCTTAGGTCAAGTCAAGGTCACAATGACATTGTATTATGTATCTTGTAAACATAACTGAACTGAATGACTCATTAACTCTTGGCCTTCTAGAAAGTACTGGAACTGTAATCATTTAATCAAGATTGAATCATGTGACTTAAGATGTCCAATCAGTGTTATTTTCTAGAAATCGTAACTTCTTGAAGCATCTGGACTATGCCTTTGCACTATATAATGAGAGAGCTGATTTGGGCTGTCAGCAGAATTTCAAAGTTGATCAAAAGACATCTTCTTAGCAGAATATTACAGACACCTACTGTGGGAACATTTATAACACTATAAACACACAACCTGAGGACTTTATATGGACATATATTACAACACACACTATATACGGATTATCATATACATTCGTGGATTATCATAAACATTTGTGGATTATCATCAAACATTTGTGGATTATCATCAAACATTATTGGATACGAACATTATAGGATTAAGATGAACATTATTGGATTATTACAAACATTGGAGAACTATTAACGATTATTGAAACTTTCGTGATCTGGAACATTCTCAAGGATCGTCAAGGATATTTATCGACATCAAGAATAAGCCGTACCATTGATTGGACATCACTTAAGTATTAAACCTCCTTTATATCATTGTTATATTATTTAGTTTTCAAAATATAAATATATTGTTATCATATTTTAATTGCTGTTTTTACTTTCTGTTATTTTCGAACGTAACAGAAATTGGGGGCTCGTCCGGGATACAACTACAACAAGCTAAAATTCAAATATTTCAAAATTCAAATCCAAAACTTGTGTATTTAAATTGTGAAGACAGCAATTAACTGAAGATGAGTTTTGAGGTTGAGACATTCTTAGAAGCGCCCTCTTTGGAGGAATTTGACGATTTAAAGAAAACTGAACTTCTGGCAATTGCAAAACATGTTGGCCTGTCAGTCAAAAGCTCATACAATAAAGGTACAATTAAAAACTTTGTACTTCAATATTTGGTCGCAGAATCACTTCTGCCTGAGGAGCCAGCCCAGCATGTCGAGCATACTGATCCTATTAGGCTTAAAGAACTTGAATTGAGAGAAAAAGAGTTGCAAAATGAAAGAGAATTGAGAGAAAAAGAGTTAGAAATTCAAAAAGAAAGAGAAATTAGAGAAATGAGAGAGAAAGAATTACAAATTCAAAGTGAAAAAGAAATAAAATTAAGAGAACAAGAAATTCAAAGAGAAATTGAATTGAAACGTCTTGAGATAGAAGCTCAATCCAAAACTGATGAACATGCTACTATGCATCAACCTTTTGAAAATAGGTTTGATGCTTCAAAATTTCTCAAATTTGTACCTAAATTTCAAGAGAAAAATGTTGATAAATACTTTACACATTTTGAAAAAGTCGCTCAGAGCCTAGACTGGCCTAAATCTGCTTGGCCAGTTATGCTCCAGAGTGTATTCATTGGTAAAGCAAGTGAAATATTTGCCTCTCTCTCAGGAGAAGTATGCTCTGATTATGACCTAGTTAAAAATGCAATTCTTAAAGCTTATGAACTAGTACCAGAAGCTTACAGACAAAAATTTAGAAATGCCCACAAACAGAGTGACCAAACCCATGTTGAGTTTGCTCGAGAGCAAGAGCAGCTTTTTGACAGGTGGCTTGTCTCTAAAGATGTATCTGAAGAGTTTAAGAAGCTCAGAGAGCTTATGCTTATAGAACAATTTAAAAACTGTGTTCAATATCACATTAGAACTTACTTAGATGAACACAAGGTAGAAACTTTAAGTCAAGCTGCCACCCTGTCTGATGATTATGCTCTTACTCATAAGGGTAGTTTTATCAAGGGCAATCCTAACTATAGAGGTTATCAGGGTAACAAACCTTCATATGATTCAAAATCAAATCAGTCCTCATCATCAAATACATCAAACAAAGCAAAAGACCAGTCTAATTCATCACAGAGTTCTAGCTCAAAATCAGATCAATCAAATTCTTCAGGTCCAAAATCAAATGTCACCTGTAATTATTGTAAAAAGCCTGGTCATCTTATTTCTGAATGCTATAGAATTAAGAATAGAAGAGAAATGTCTGGTTCTGCTCATTCAAATGGTTGTGCTACAGTTCCCATTTCAAGAAAGCCCATTGTTTGGGATTCATATACTCATACTGAGAAATCTACTCATAGTGATATTATGGAGGATTATAAGCCTTTCATGTCGGAAGGATTTGTGTCACTTTCAAGTGATGATACCAATTCAAAGCCTGTTAAGATTCTTAGAGACACGGGTGCATCACAGACTTTGTTGTTAGAAGGTGTCCTTCCTTTATCTGAGGAGTCATTCACAGGTACCCATATTTTGATGCAAGGCATTGAATTAGGTTTTACTAAAGTTCCCCTCCATCGTATTCATATCACATCAGAGTTAGTCAAAGGGCCAGTTATTGTTGGTGTTAGGCCACAACTTCCTGTTGAAGGAGTCGCATTGCTTTTAGGCAATGATTTAGCTGGGGGTAAGGTATCATTAGACCCCATTGTTTCAGATCAGCCTTGTTCTATTGAGGATTCTGTCCAAGAGGACTCTGATATATATCCTGCTTGTGCTGTTACTAGGGCTATGGCTAAAAAGTTAGCTGATAGCGGGGATTTGTCTGTGGGAGATGACTTTGATAGTGGGTTTTTAAGCTCCTTGTTTGATGATGAATGTCACTCACCACTTGTTAAAGATGATCCTTATCCTATTTTAAAGGCAAATTCTTCATTGAAACAGCCTTCTGTTCAAGCCAAGCAGTCATCTATTGAGGCAAATTCTTCATTGAAAAAGCCTATTGCCAGAGGTGATTCACCTTCTGAGCAGGATCACTATTTTAATGCGGTTTCGCCCGCTCTTGCTAGTCCTGATGAAGTTCCATCTTCTTCTGCTAGTGTTCATGAGGTTTCATCCCCTCCTTGTTCTGAGGTTACATCCTCTTCTAGTTCTGAGGTTTCATCCTCTATTTCTGATAGTGATTCTTTGAAAAATGATCCTCATTCTAAACCCATGTTAATTTATGAACAAGAGCATGATCCATCACTCATTGATCTTCATAAAAGATGTCTTACTATTGATGAAGCTGACAAGGTCCCTGTTTGTTTCTACAAAAAGGATGGCATATTAATGCGAAAGTGGAGACCTCCTGAAGCTTCCCCTGAAGATGATTGGGCAATTGTACATCAAATTGTTGTCCCAAAATCATATCATAAGGAAATCTTGAGTCTAGCTCATGATTCTCCCATGGCAGGTCATTTAGGAGTAACTAAAACATACCATAAAATACTCAATCATTTCTATTGGCCCAAATTAAAACAAGATGTCCAAGAGTATTGTAGGTCTTGTCATACATGTCAAATGGTAGGGAAACCTAACCAGAAAATTCCAACTGCTCCTTTACACCCTATACCTGCATTCGATGAACCATTTAGTAAGGTTCTTATTGACTGTGTTGGTCCATTACCAAAAACAAAATCTGGTAATCAATATTTACTCACTATTCTTTGTATGGCCACACGGTTTCCAGAAGCGATTCCACTCAGAAATATCAAAGCCAAAAATATAGTGAAATCACTCATCAAATTTTTCACCTTAGTTGGACTGCCAAAAGATCTTCAGTCTGATCAGGGCTCAAATTTCATGTCAGGCTTATTCCAACAGGTCATGGATACCTTGGGTATCAAACAGTGTAAGTCAAGTGCCTATCACCCAGAGTCTCAAGGAGCTCTAGAGCGTTACCATCAGACGCTTAAGACCATGATTAGAGCTTTCTGTTTTGAATATGAGAAAGACTGGGATGAGGGCATACCCTTGCTTCTGTTTGCTACCAGGGAGGCTAAGCAAGAATCTTTAGGGTTCAGTCCATTTGAGCTAGTATTTGGTCATTCTGTGCGTGGTCCACTTAAATTGCTCAAAGAAAAGTGGCTGTCAGAAACTGAAAAGTTTAATCTGCTGAACTATGTCACTGGGTTTAAAGAGCGCCTATCAAAGGCTTGTGAAATAGCCAAAGAAAATTTGCTAAATAGCCAAGATAAAATGAAAACTTGGTATGACAGAAAAGTCAAAGAAAGATCTTTCCAGCCAGGTGACAAAGTTCTTATATTGCTGCCACTTCAGACAAATCCATTACAGGCAAAATTCTATGGTCCTTATGTAGTGGATTCCAAGGTCAATGACCTCAATTATATTGTCAAAACTCCAGATAGGCGCAAAGAAACACAATTGTGTCACATCAATATGATGAAAAGGTACTTTGAGCCAGACAAAGAGCATGGCTCAATTAAGCCTGTAGTCACTTTGGCACCTGCCC